TAGTCGATGTGATTGGCCTTGTGCCAGAGGCCCCTAACGACGCTTTCGAAAGGAGGAGAATCCTACTTCGTCCTCTCCAACGACGAGTCTCCAAAGATACCCGGAGACCAGTGGCGGTGACGCAATGTTGCCGCAATCACATTTTGGCACGCCTCTAGCGAACCTACACCTCTCGGTAGGCACCTTCGATATCTTGCGCCGCTATTGAACTCGATCGGTATCGACCGGAATCGAAACGACCGCTGGCTGATTTCCTCCGCGCGCCGCTTATTGCTGCTTAATCTCGCGGCTGACCGGTACCACTGTCGACTACTTGCTGCGACTCTACGGCTGACCAGTAACGACTCTACTTCCCATTGATTTGTTTAGTTCGCTACCCTAGATACAAGCGGTATAACTTTCATCCGCGTAAATAATCACAGAAATATCAAAATCCTTCCAAACGGTGTCATCACACTGACTGATGTAAACTCAAATGAAATAAAAATGAACAAACTGCAATATCAAGAAAAATATGCAACATACGACGTGTATCATCGCACGTAGCAAACAATATCGGAATAAATTGTAATATTAGTCGCCGGCAGTGTGCACAAACGTTGTTTAATAATTCTCGTAGAGAGACACGGCCAAATATTTTCAACGCCTAACGGATAGTCAATACTCATTTAAATGCTAAGACTAGTGAAACAGTGGGGTGGAATAAAGTGCCGTGAAATAAAGGAGTATCTCCGAGGTGATTCGGTAGGCGCGGCGCGAGTTTTAGTGGTTGTGGACGGAGAGTGGTTGTATCTAATTTAAATTCCCGACATAAAAAGCTTGCACAACGCGAGGAGTGGTCTGGATAGCGTGGATCGTGGCCAAGCCACGTGCGGCTACGAGATTCATTCCGCTTTACATGGCCAGTCCGTACCCATCCACTTCTCTGCGTCCCTCGAAATTCCCTCTTCAACATCCTGCTCGCACGCTATCCTTCTCTTTCTCTCATCCGCGTACATACTCGCATACACCGCTTTCTCTTCCATCTAGATCTCATCTCTACGCAACCTATTTCACATTTCACATTTCTAGTCCAAGTAGGACCGGAACCCTAATGCCACGGAAATCGTCTCTGCTGGAAAGAATTGTCTATTGAAGGAAAGAATCGTGTTTCCAAAATTAAATGCAGGTGGAATAGGTGTAATATTTATCTATCAACGAGTATATACTAGATCGTACTCGGACACTGATTGTAAACTTGTAAATATTTTAAACAGTTGTTACTTTATGAAAAAAAAAAAAAAAA